TGGACGTATACAGACGAATTCTAATATCTATATTTTTCTGTAAAGTATCTTACAACAGTAAAAAATGGCCTCAAAGCGTAAACACCGACTCTACTGAGTGTTAGAAAGCTGATTTGTGTACTGATGTGAAGATAAAAAGCTCCATGTGGTGAGGCTCACTACGACAAATTATCTGTGTTGTTTGGTTTTACACATTCCGCCACTTGAGAAATTAAATTTCCATACGAGAGGAAAACAACAGACTCTGGAAAGTTACACACTAACTAACTTGATACCACAAATCGCCAAAACAAAGATCGCTGCTACACTATGTCGCCTAACGGCTGGATAACATATTTCACTATCCTTCTTTTACCTGCACGTTTTACGCCATTTTTTGCTTACTACAAAGCTACACTGCAACAAATTAACATATTATCGAGCTTAAAAATAAATTGAAATTGAAATGAGATACTGTGAGGCATAACTGGATATTAGGAAGCAGCAGGGAAAGCATTAAACGTTTGAAATTCATAAATGTAATGACAGGTAACGAAATGCGCTGTTCAGCCATCAGCACATTTTTGAAATAAAATTCTGTTACCAGAAACAATGGGACCAGCCACGTTTTTACTGTATTTATTACACAATAGTTATGTTAAAAATGTGTAATACATTTAAATTTGATCAATTATTCGTTTTTAAAAGTATTTTTAACAGTAATCTCTGATTTATTTTTATTTGTGGTGCAAACATTAAGTACAATAAACACGAAAATTTTGTTCGGATGCCGTGAATTAATTTTAACCTAACGTCAAAAATATATTTATCCGACATATCCGAATTTACTCACTCGAGAAAATGGATGNTCCAAATTAAAAATACAAGTACGAGGTAAAACAGATTATAAATATCTTCTCAGGAATATGTTTTTACGATTTACTTCTATAAGTTGTTTCTTGAAATTTGTGACTTACTTCATTCGTTAATATTAAAGTGTAAGAAATCAGCGCTGCAGCAGGTCATTTGAAATAAATATTTAGTTCTGTTGCACCTACAAAAAATATGTTCGTTTGTATGGCATTTACGCCACACCACAGCGATGAAGAGATTTCGTTGTTACTCCAAACCTTGAAGTAGATTCAAGTAAATAGAAGTATCTGAAAGCGACCGATAAATGAATTTGAGATAGGATTGGATTCTGTTTCACATAATATAGTCATTATACTATAAACACTTATCGGTTTATAACTAGTGTTGCTCATAATAATATTTTTAACCAGAAATTGTCAGATGGATTTAGTGATGATAACTGTGAATGACCAAAAACTATTTATGAGTTTTAATTAAAGAAGGGCTGCAGTGCCAAATTCTATAGTTACACCTGTGTGTATGTTTATAGTAAGCAAATAGTTCTTACGTATATTATCTGACTATATTTAAACTTACCTTTATAAAAGTATCGATATTCCTTCACGTCTGGGACAATGATAAAAAAAAACGCTATATTATTGCTCTCAAAGATAACTAAATAAATAAGTTCAGGAAATCGTCTATATATTAACACTAGCTGTTACCCGCGACTTCGTCAGCGGAGGTTTTGCAAGCAAACCCCATTTACATCCAATATTTCAATAACCATAGTAATTGTTATATAACACCTACCGCTGAAGAGAATTGCCGAAAATCAAACGAACTATTTTCAATTTGATCAATTTTCTGAAACGTTTACAATCGTTCTATAATCGAACCAATACGCAATAACAAATTCGAATTTAAAAC